TTATGTTATGTTATGTTATGTTATGTTATGTTATGTTATGTTATGTTATGTTATGTTATGTTATGTTATGTTATGTTATGTTATGTTATGTTATGTTATGTTATGTTATGTTATGTTATGTTATGTTATGTTATGTTATGTTATGTTATGTTATGTTCATAGGTATAGGTAACTGCTGTGTGTTGTAATATGACTGCACTGGAGCTGCTCTGAATAGAGATGGAGATGTCATGCCTCACCTCTAATAAGATCAGCCATGATATTAAAACTCCTCCGCATATGAAGGAGACGGAAGTGCCTGGGCGCTTAAGGGGTTTTATGCTGATCAAGCTGGGCCACCACTTACTGCCAGAAACTTTTAACAACACCACCCACCACTTCTACTTCCTACCCCAGTTCCCCTGCACCAGCCATTACTGTTATTATGTAATTGTTGTTATCCAGAAGCTGAAAGTTCTAGCTTGCTGCTTTTGAAGTGCTACATGTTTTTGTTAGGGTTTTCTGTGGGGTCCAATGTAGTTGCCTCAATCATTCTATATCTTTGCAAAGCCTGCATTGCATTGTGACCGAATCACAAAACATTCATGGCTGAACTGTGCTGCACGAACTGTTCAGGCTGGACTGAAAAGATCAGGGACCTTGTTAAAAACACACTTCAGCCACTCTTAACAAAATGTTAGGATGCTTGAGAAGGATTTTGCAATGCCGCAGGTGCTAATAAACAGCCAGGAACAGCACAACTTCTAAATTACTCATATTATTAGTTAGCAACTGGAATATTAGTAGCTTTTTATGGAGTAATTCTGCTGGGGTTTTGGATGTTAGAATATGCACATGTTAGTAATCAGCCAGGCTAAAAAATGCAAATATTTGACCATTTTCAGAAAATTTGTGATTTTATTGTATTCTGGTTTTTTTTTTTCTATTTTGCATAAATATTGTTTAAAAATATATTTTATTTAGTATTAATTCAGTGTTATTAATTAAGGCATGTTCTTTGTATCTCATTTGCCATTATTACATTGAAATGCTTGTAATATATTTACATTGTAATTTATGTATTTGCCAGACACAAACTGAACCCATGACCTTTTGTTTGAATTACAGAAATGCCTACAGTAATTTATCAGCATTTTTTTGAAAATCAGCCCCCCTGCTTATATATCAGTAATTCAAAACAAATAGAAAATTTGTTTTTATTTTTTTTATGGTATTCTTTTCCCACTTTCTGTTCTGTTCTGTTTAAACTGTTGTCGTAAGGACAAATCACATTTGCTGTCAAGTCAACAAAACTTTGACATAATCATAACGAAGTACAATATTGCCAAACTGTTCAACTCATATGACAGTAAAGATGTGTGTGAGCTGCAAAAAATGGAAACCTTAAAGAAATAGCAAAAAAATAAACGTAGAACAGTATGTTGACCATGAATCTTTTTGTCCCCTCTCAACAGGTGCATTCCAGAGGCCCACCTTGGCAGCTAGAGGAGAGGAGAGGTCGGCCTCCATCACCATGACAGTGTTGCCACGGACCGTGGCTTCCCTGGCTGTGCCCGGCCTTATCCTCTGTTTCATCACTCTTCCATTTCCTGCTATACTATCCCAGAGGCCCCCTCTCCCCACAGAACCCTCCCCCACCCCAGCACCCCACACAAGGCCGGAGTGTACCCGCCTAGAGCACCCCGTCATCTCTATTCAAGGTGAGCACTGATGTCTCGCGCAGTACATGCTCTCACTCCTGAGATACTACAGCAATGTTTCTCTTCTCTCTAGGAATCACTTTCAGTACATGAAGCTACTTTGAAATTCTAGATTGCCAGATTAAAAGTTGTTAGTTCTTAGAATATTTTTTCCTTCCCCCCCTTAATATGCAGAGAGAGCTGTAAGTGTAAGTCTCAATGGCAATTTTAAAACACTAATTTGTTTGGTCATCCCAACCAGTCAAATGTAGCAACACTGGCTCAACCATGATTTTGTTGCTTGAATTTTTGATTTTCTGACCAATCATGGTGAATGTTTTAGAAACCTGTTTACAGATGATAATGCTAAGCTACACTTCAGTCAAAGTACTTTTTAAAAAAAGCAGTTTGCTAGACTACAAGCTACTACCAAAATGTAGAAAACTGCATTGTTATAAAAGATACATTTATGCTAAGTAAAAATACAAAAACCTTTATGTAATTGCACATAATACAGCATTTAACTAAATATTTGGATGGAAAAAAGGAGAACTGAATGGACTCAAATCATTTTGTGATTTGTTTGATCAGTGAGTCATTTACTAAAAAGAATTAGTTCACAAACATGTTTACTAAGTTTTTAATTGATTCACGAATCCACTGAAATGAATCAAATCAGTGTCATGAATCTTATTTACCCAACTCTATATATGAAAGAAAGTGCAATAACTGGAAAAATGCTTGGTGAAGCTATACTATTTTGAAAATAGCTGCTGCTGTCATACTACAGAAAATACCTAGCTGCATGACTAAACATTGGCAATATTTGTGTTGGCTAAGCCTGAATCATATAAAAACTGACAAAGCATGCTTTAAGGGCACAGAATGTAGCCTTCATATATTTTTAGACCATGTTCATACCTCAGGTCAGCTTTAATTGCTGATAAAAACAGCAATTCTTAGTCTTTTGTTGAAGGCATGTACTCCACCATTATACACAATTTTCTGACAAAGTCCACTGCTGGAATTCAAAGCGTTTGGGAATGTAGCGCCCAGCCTAGTGAGTCCGGTTGTTTTTCCACTGTTCCTGTGTATTACACAGGCTCAGACTGTAGATCTACATTTTTTGTTTCATTTATCTTATTCATTGGGTTATCCACACATTTCAGACAGTGATAGAGCATGCTGAAGATAGCAAGAGATAAACGTCTTTCATTTCTTCAAGATTCCTATCCTCCTGTGTCCTAGCACACAAAGAAAACAGAATGTGCAGCTATACCTTGATATCGCTCCGAAAAACTTCTCCATACCCATGGAACAAAGGTGTTTTCTATACCAAGAACATATTTATTTAGACAACAGAGTGTGTTTGTAGTGAATATGATCTGTCGACGATTGCCTTGGTCATGGAGTGAGAGCAGCATGTTTTTGACTCTCTTAGGGACATGACAAAAATTGCAGAATAATGCCTCATGGGAAACAAAAGGAATTGATGTCTGGGAGGGCTCTGTATAATATATGAAACCTATTTGGACATTAGGGCAGCCATGGCTCATATAGACATCGCCTGCAGCCAGCTCCGTTTATTGCTGCCGAAAAAACTCAGGTTGCATTTTGATTTGTCATTTTATGCTTTGCCATCAAAGCGACAAGAATTTTTTTTCTTTTCATAGTGTTGAAATAGACTGCAATTACAAACGGCCTTGTTCACTGAGTTAGAAAACACTACAATTTGCAAACAAGCAGTAAATCGTAAAGCCGGATAACCAAGGTACTGTCTTTGTTTTTCTCATTTTTTTGTTTTTGTTGTTATCTTCACAATAAGAGCTGCTGAACAATTAGCTTTGCACTGTAAGCAATAGCACACCTCAAAATCCCTCTTTATGTGTTCTCAATGGTATGGAAGTCCCACAGCCCACCTTAATGCCTTCTTTTATGTTGAAGCAGTGGTATGGAATCCCGGTATTCTATTCCCTTTCGTCATTTTAGCTCATTGAAGCAAAGGCACTGTGGCATAGCCTTCACAATAAGAGCTGCTGAACAATTAGCTTTGCACTGTAAGCAATAGCACACCTCGAAATCCCTCTTTATGTGTTCTCAATGGTATGGAAGTCCCACAGCCCACCTTAATGCCTTCTTTTATGTTGAAGCAGTGGTATGGAATCCCTGCTACAATGGAAGTGTTGGCCGAACTTGAGATTAGGTTCTTTGATGGATGAACGTTTTTTAATTGACGCCTTCTGGCGGCTGCTCGGTGGAGTCACCTGAGGCGTGTTGGGGGCCTCTATCTCTGATCTCTGACAAGTTCTGTAGATTCACACATGCCTTTGAACTATTCTAAACCGTGGAAATGATACTCTTAAGATGATTTAGCATGGTAGAGCATGACCACCATGGTTGGGGCCAGTCATCTTGCTGAATGGGATTTACAACCTTAAGAATTAGACTTTACACTTTAAGGAATTACCTCTTAGTGAGTTTTAAATATATATATTTTTTAACTTGTTTTCCGTTAAACAATGTAAAAAGATGCTTTTACTTATGTAACATTACATTAAGACTTGTTTTCAGACGATGTATCTTTTATTTTTTATTTGACTTATTTTAAATATGAATAAATTAAACAAGTGGAAACAATCTGGCAGTGCAGTAACAAAATATACTTCAAATTAATACACTAATTCAAGATAGTCTTAATGTTTTATCCAGTGTGGCGTAAGTGTATATATATATATATATATATATATTATTTTAATAGGAAAATTAGACAAATACTTAAAAGCATTATTTGTTTTAAAATTGCAAATTTGCAAATGTAGAAACTATGAGAAAGTTGTGCTGCATTTCTAAGAATTTTAATGGGGTTATATCAAACATTATTTGAGAATTTTCTCCTGAGGTTGTACCAAAGTAATAATTTATTTTTATGTGACTATTTCTACCCTCTGACCAATAGGCTGTTTTTGCTGCTGTAGCTTTCAATTCTGTGGAAACACCCTCTTTGCATGTGAAATGAGAGACAGCCTTCACAGTTTGTGGCAGGTTTGCTGTTGGTCCAATATAGTTGTTGCTGCCCTGACCTTCAATAGCAACCTCTTTGCAAAGGCTGGATTAACACTTTAAGGAATTACCTCTTAGTGAGTTTTAAATATATATATATTTTTAACTTGTTTTCCGTTAAACAATGTAAAAAGATGCTTTTACTTATGTAATATTACATTAAGACTTGTTTTCAGACGATGTATCTTTTATTTTTTATTTGACTTATTTTAAATATGAATAAATTAAACAAGTGGAAACAATCTGGCAGTGCAGTAACAAAATATACTTCAAATGAATACACTAATTCAAGATAGTCTTATCCAGTGTGGCGTAAGTGTATATATATATAAAATTATATATATATATTATTTTAATAGGAAAATTAGACAAATACTTAAAAGCATTATTTGTTTTAAAATTGCAAATAACGTACAGTAGAAACTATGAGAAAGTTGTGCTGCATTTCTAAGAATTTTAATGGGGTTATATCAAACATTATTTGAGAATTTTCTCCTGAGGTTGTACCAAAGTAATAATTTATTTTTATGTGACTATTTCTACCCTCTGACCAATAGGCTGTTTTTGCTGCTGTAGCTTTCAATTCTGTGGAAACACCCTCTTTGCATGTGAAATGAGAGACAGCCTTCACAGTTTGTGGCAGGTTTGCTGTTGGTCCAATATAGTTGTTGCTGCCCTGACCTTCAATAGCAACCTCTTTGCAAAGGCTGGATTAGATTGTGGCAGGTTTGTAAAACAATTCTCACCGAAATGTGACACACAGACAGTTTAGGTTAGACTGAAATAATCTGACACCTCCATATCTTTTTGTTATATGCCAACTGGAATAATAACATTTTCTTTTCTACCTCCTCCATATTACTTCACCATGCTTGGCCGGTCCAAGTTGCCGACCACCGATTCGGCATCATTGATGTGCAAATGTGGGCGGTCAAGTGTCAATGTATTAATCTGACTTCAGAAAGTTGAGGAAGTTCGGAAAGAGAAGTTTTTGCAGCTTCCTTTCAATAGGTGGTCTGTTTGGCTTGGAAAAGTTTGCAGTTTTAAAACTTTGAGTATTTTACATTGAACCCTTTTATTTCAAGAGATCAAATACTTTTTTCATGATATTGCTACCACTATAAGAAACTCAAAGCTGTTGCTGTGTCGTTATATAATACCTTAGTGAGAGGAACCTGATACTTATTCCCTTCAGAGAAAATCCTTTTTTTTTTTCCCCTTGCATGTTATACGTGACAATCCCCTATAAAATCATTGCCAGCATATCTATGAACCAGCAACAACAATAGCATGCTGGTACTACAAGGAGTCTCAGATAAGTTTAGATATCTGGGGATGTAATTTGGATGGATTTTTCTTTTGTGTGGGGGTGTAGGTATTTGTTCTGTTTTTATTTTTTTCTTGGCTAAGCTTGCACAATCACACCTGCATGCCTAGTCTATCTACAAGGATGTCAACGTATCACTGCAAACACATGTATGCTGAGCTGAGAATTACTAGGTTTCTGGAGACATATTCAACAAACATTGAGGCGAATTCGCCAAATGCATTCAATATTTCAGCAAAAACCTGTTCTGTATTCAGTCCAATGAAACAAGTTACAAAATGTGTTGAAATTGTACTGCACTGTGAATTTTAAAATGAATTAGCATTATTATCAGCTCTATTTGTATTTACTATTATTTATAAATTATGTATAAAATAAACACTAAAAATACAGTAATCGTATATTGTCAAACTAAATGTAGGCATCATATTGTAATGCACAGTATGAAAAACAGATATTAATTTTGAGATTTGCTAAAGACATTTACATGTAACATTTGACAGTGTTATTAAATTCTTTTTAAAGATTTTTCACTTTGTGAACATTATATGATGACAAAGGGGATAAAATGTTAAATACAATATAAAAATAAGGGAAATAAACATACCCAATGAACTATTTATCAATAACCAATATAGTACTGATAGATCATGCATCAAGGAACCTACTTTCCTTTTTTAAGCACTAAAACACAGCACCTGCCAATAAAAGATACTATCCATGGACATTCACATTTTCAGTTCAGTTTACGTTTATTTGATACATGTTATTTCAAAGCAGCTTTACAGGAGATGCATGTTTCTGCATTACAAATTAAGAGTAATTTGTTGGTGATATCAAAGTAATGTCCATATAGCAGAAATACACAGTTCTACGATAATATAAATGATGCAGTTAGCTAATGACATGTATTCAAGCAGAAACAATGAACACAATTAAGGCAATCATGTTGTGATCATAATGATTACAATGTAAGGAAAATTTGGCAGTTTTGTATTTATTCAAAGTTGGTATCATCTGAGGTCCTCACAGGTGTTGGCGTCATCTGAGGTGTTGGGATATCATTTTATTCAGGGGCCATTAACACAAACATGCTGCTGATATATTGTTGCTCTATGTGCACATGGGCTAGAATGATGTCTTTGACTGCTGCATTTGCGAACTTTTGCAGCATCTCTTGAATAACACGCTGTCCTTAAAACATGGCTTTTAAGTTCAACTTTAAAAAAAACAAAATACTTTCTGCCGTGCATCTCATGTTTTTAAAGCAAAACCTTGTTCTGTATGAATGGCCCCTTAGTAAATTCCACCTATTGTTGCATAAAACCAGCATCTATAGTTACCAGATTTGGATCTTGGATTTTATAAGCTACGTCGACATTGAAAACAGCACGATTTAAGAGCTAATGTCAGGTATGGTGTGTCCTTGCATGTTCAATGCTGAGAACCTAATGCAAAGTCCTAAAGCCTGTTAGGCTGGAATTACAGTAATCTGTCCCGAGAGGAGTGGTGCCACAGAGCCATTGTCTACCTTCCACTCACCCAGCCATTGTAATTGTCTTGAGATTGTTTGTCTCGTCTGTAGAACATGTTCAGAAACCAATCTCTAGTGGGTAATAGTGCTGTTGTTTAACCACCGGTCCCATTTAAGGGGACCTTGAGAAGAAAAAATAGAAAAACAATGTTGTTCCTTAACTTCAGGCCGTTACCAATGTGTCTCCCTTCACCTAATTGGTCCGTGATTTCAGAGGCACTGATGCCTGAACCGTTCTGTCACGTTGTTGGAACTTCTGTCACCACATAGAAAGTAGAGGTTGTTGGAGGTGTTCACAACCTTGGAGTGCAAGGTTTACATCTGCTAACTGTGAATGGAATGGAACTTGGTAAGTGGTTTGAACTGATAGCAGCAGCCCTTATGCTTCTGCTTGGCTTTTCCTGCCTATTGTAAATGCTGACGTGTTACTCTTCAATTACCGTTTTAAATTGCCAGCACAGGTTTCTCTCATTGGCTTTGTGAAAGATGCTCTTTCTGGTTGTAGTGCTCTTTGCCTGACTTGAACCGGCCCTCGATTTACGGCCTTATCCCCAGAGTGCCCTTACCCCCGCCTGTCCTCTCCTCTGTTATGCCTTGGCATTTCTTGGGGCGCTCATTGTCTTCCTATTTCTATAATCAGAGTGCAGTCTGCGTAAGAGGATTTAGATTTCTGTGGCTCTCTCCAGTCATGCAGTGACAACAAGGGGATGCAACAGCAGGGAAATCACACGGCAGGCATGGGGAAGGAGACCAGAAGACAAAACAAAAGCAAATTCGGACTGTGCTCAGATAAGCTCCAGCCTGCATCTTCTGATAAGATTCTCTGAGCTCAGATGAGAGATGAGCCAGTATTTGGAGCGGAGAGATGCAAAATACAGAAGAGATGACTGTGTCTCTTGCAGGACAGGGCTAGTGCTTACATGATGTGCTTTGGGAACACATATGCTTTATTTCTAATCAAAGGTAACACTACAGAAGCATGAGGCTGCTGGGCCTACAGCGGTCAGGGGTGATCCATATTCACTCTCTCATATCGATTCCAGAATGCTAACTAGAGTAGTTTGCATCAGTTATATTTATAATATCTGGGTTTCCCAATACCGGTTTGACTAACCAAACAATTTCAATAAAGTGAGACCAGATTTATTTTGAACTTCTTTTTTTTTTTACATCAAAGATACATTTTAACAACCTATATTGTTTTTCAAATAAATAAGTTGGGTCATAGTGGTTTGCTGACATAACAGGTTGGAAAACTCAATATCAATAAATCAATAAACTCCATAAACTTCAAGCTTGTGCTACAATTTATATATATATACTGTATATATATACTCAGTCTCAGCTGTTCTTGATGTATGATATCCAATAAGATTTTCTATGATTCTCTCTGAACACATTTTATCAGTCATCAAAGGCCATAACCACATTTTAACACGGGTGAGATGGATGCTTGTGGAAGAGGTAGGCTTATAGTACAGAATATATTTGTTTCCCTGTCATTATTTTTCCATAAATAATGTCTGAATGATACAGCCATATGGTCCCAATCATTCAGTTTGTTAATATATTAATTCAGTGGCGTTGCATAAGCTTTTTTCCAATTTTTTCCTGTAAATTCTATGCAGACAGATCCCCACATTTATTCAGTTTGTGTTCCCATGTGAATGACAGATTGTTTTGGATGACCCCAGCATCTGGATGACTTCATCTGCCAGGGCAGATTTGGACTATATGAAGTGGTATTTATGGATGTCTTGTTAATAGAAACCAGTTTCACCGCTGCTTTGACCTGTGGTGTGAGAAAGCTGCAGCTGTGTTTGCGACTGTAGTCACATAGCATTTTGCTGTAGTCAAATTATTATTTTTTTAATATTGTGCCTAAAAGAGAAATTACAGTATGTATAGCCTTATATAGTAATTGTAGTATTGTATATGATTTATTTTATTTAATATGAATAATACAAATAATATTAAATACGCAGTTATTTTATTTTAGAAAATCTTTAAAAAAAAATTTTTACATTTCTTTCTAGCAACCTGAAATGCAATTATGCCGATGCAACCTGCAATACAATTACATTTTTACATTTTATTTTAAATTCGAAGTGACTTAAATTTGCAATCAACATATATACATTTTTGTTTTTTTAAGTTTAATTTTGTGAAATAGTGAAGTAGGCCTACATTGGATTTTGAGTTTTTTTTGTAACTCAAAACTATTCATTTATCATAAATGATAAGGGCTGTGCTTTTTCGGAAAGTGAAACTTGAGCCTGACATTTAATAGGAACTCATAACACAAACAACATTTGAAAACGAAATTATGTAATATTAGGCAAGGATTTCTGTATTTTAGCTAGACATGTCCAGAATAATGCTGAGAGATCCTATTCTGCATGGAAGGATAACAAATCTTTTTATTGGTTCCTTTAACAGTGAAATCCCATTTACTAAGCCACATTAAGGTCAACAATAGATCAAGTGGTTTTTGTATTTACATAATGCCCTTTCTGTCTCATGTAATTCCCACTTCAATAGGGCCAGTCAGTGCTGTAAGTGTGTGCCAGGGCAAATTGTTTTGATTTGCGAAACTTTGTATCAAACAGCGTTTTTATGTTCTGAGATTCCTTGGGTAAGCAGAGTTTTGACTAAGTGTCATGTTGAATTAGGATCAGTATCCTTGAAGAGTCCCAGTTACCTCTGAGCATAGCTCTCTGGTCCTCCTCACAAGTTATTGGGGACTCATGGGAAGAAACAACATTAATTTTCCTGGATTAGTGACCTCTATTGCGGAACTCGTTTTTGTAATGCTTAATCCATATGTCACCCTAAACCAGGAGTTCTTTAATGGATTTTAATGTTATACAGTACGCTTTGAACTTTCAAGGTTTGTCAAACGCAACCACTTCCCATCTGTATCACTAATATACCCACTTTTTTTTGGTCTTTCAGCTCTAAGTCCTTTGATCTCCAGTTTCTCCCATCCTGGTGTAAGGGACTACTCTCAGCTGACCCTTGACCTCACCAGGAATGAACTTATAGTGGGAGCAAGGTAAAAACTTATACTATATCTGGCCAAAGTTTGGACTGATGCATGACAATACAAATACACAGTTTCAATATTTCTATATTAAATATGTTTATATTATAATATAATTTAGATTGGTATATCATTATATAATAATATGTGTTTTTGAAAAACAAAGTATCTATATCTTTATCATTTAAATTCTTAATTTTGTTTTTGGTCAATGCTTATTTCCATACTATTTGTGTTTAGAATTTATTTGAAGTCATTTTATTCAGTGAGAAAAATGTAAAAAATAAATAAATAAAAAGAACCATTTTCACTAGAGGTCTCAAACCTTTGGACCCCACTTTATTTTTAATTTCCCTTGGCATATTAAGGGTACATTTTCATTGCATCTCCAGTAGATACAGTAAATCATATAAATTTAACCTTTTTCAATCTCTCTCTTATTTTATCTGCAGAAACTACCTCTTCAGACTGAATCTAAACAACATTTCACTAATTCAGGTGAGACACAGACCTACAGTGCTTATAAATGGTCAGCATTCTCTACTAGATGATGATTCCTGTTTGATGTGGTCTTTGTGACTTTATATAAGGCCGTCTGTCAGGCCTTTGGGTGTTAGAGAGGGCTGGCTTATGGTTATTGATATTGAAATGAATGGGTCAGTTCCCAAAACTGCCTGGACAGACTTCAAAGAAAGCAGCATTGCCCGGCACAGAGAGCAAGGGGCGTCTTAGCGAATATACCAAGTTTCTAGTCTGGCTTGGAGCTAAAACCTCTCAGAAGGTCAGCCAGGACTGTCTGAGGTCTAAATAAAGCAGTGAAATGAGACTGTGGTGGCTTTCGCACCTGTTGCTGCTGTTGCATATATCTCTTTTATTCCCCCAGTAATCTCTGTGCCGTGTCTCGTAGCTACCAGACATTTATTGAATGCTCTCACTCGCAGACCACTCATAATGGTTCATGCATGAAGCAGCTTTTGGTTGAAGACTGAATAAAATTTGAGTATCAGTCGCTTTCATTCTCTCTCACCTTAGATACCCAGCACACATCTGAATGCACAACAAATAGGAGCTAAATAAGCCACTCCATTCACATATTCCCATGTCTGCGTCTAGTGTTTTGTTTCAATGACGTTACTAAATTTGCAGCAGTTTTCTCCACTGTCCCAGTGGAGAGGATTAGGTGCAATTTCATTTTCCTCCATCTCACCTTCGCCTCTCCTGGGCGATTCCAAACTGTGAATAAACAAGGCAGATCTTTCTTCATTTCGACTAACCAGAGCATCACAAGGGGGAGGCAGGGTCCAAATCGATGAGCAGCATTTTGCCAGCTTTTGAGAGTGTCTTTGCCTAAACTGCACACAGTGAAAATTAAAATGGGCATATGTTATTAAAGGATGAAGAATGAGACACTGGTGACAGAATTGACCTGACAATACTAAGCATGGGTTCTTGAATTGTAACCAAATCACAAAACACCATGATAATACATTTAGTGTTTTTACAATAATGCTGTCAGGATTATGGACTATTCTGTGTGTGTTTTTGCCCCTGTGACCCAGTTTCTTCCTCATGTTGATTGTGTTAATTTGATTCAAGGTGTGTTTCGTTCCTGCCTAATTATCCTGCCTTTAAAAGCCCTAGTCCTTTCAGTTCTTGTTTGTCGGGTCTACTTGTTGAATGTTCTCCTTGTTCTCGGTTTTCCTGTGGATTATTAAAGACTGTGTTATTCAAGTACTCCTCGTTTCCTCGTTCCTTGCTCTCCGAGTGAATTGTGACAGAAGACCAGACCGATACAGTTACCTCCGTTTGTACCCTCCTTTTTGTTTCTCTTTTTACTCCGTTTTTTGTTTCCGTTGTGTGCCCTATGTATCCCCTCCTTCACCCCGAATTCACCCTCCTCCTGCTGGAGCAGGAGGAAAATTCGCTCGAGGGTCATACCAGACTGTTTCTGGCTGTGGCCCATCTCACCACCTATCCGGACGACGCGCTCTGTGCGTTCTATGGCGCTAGCCTCAACACCGCGTGCAGAGCGCCGTCGTCCGAAGATGGCCCTCGAGCTGAATTCGCCGCCTTTGTGGAGTGGACACTGGCGAGATATGGATCTCCGTTCCCCGCCGGTTCCCAGGAATTATTCGCCAGTGCCACTCCCGACCCAGAACCCAGCCCACCATCTCCCCACCGCTGACGGAGAGCCAGAGCCCGCCGAGAGAGCGACAGAGCTGAGGATCGCCGCGGAGCCAGATGCCGTGACGTCAGTCAAGGTGTGTGAGCCGGCAACAACGCCTGCCACGAGGGAGAAAGCCACAGACGGTGGGAGTGCGGAGAGGAGCTCCGCCCCCTGCACCGCGGCTGAGGGTGAGCTGAGTATGGCCGGGCGAAAGTGCCAAAAGGAAGAGGAAAGGGTTCCAGCCCTTGAATTCAGTTCAGAGCGCCCTCCTGTGGCCGCTCCTCGAAAATTTTTGCCGCTGTGACCCAGTTTCTTCCTCATGTTGATTGTGTTAATTTGATTC